AAAGATTGAGCACCAACCTGGCACACAGAAAATAAATTGTGATTCTACCGATGTAAAAACAGTGGACATAAAAAAAACACAACGCTTTGTTAAAAGCAAATTTTCAAGAATCGCGCCTTTACAGAAACTAACTGGGCGAATTTACTACAAAAACTGGTGATTCGCTCAACATTTGTACTGGAAGGATCTTGTTTGCTCGATTGAGTATTGTTCTGAGTCCATTCGTAATCCGTTAATGGACTAATTAGACACTATAAAAATAAGGAGGTGGAAGTCCCGGAGTGCATTCCTCAAAACCTATATCCTGTTTTTCGTTATATGCCCCAACAAAACTACAGAATGGTGGTTCTTTAACGTGTGAGGCATCAGATATTAGTGCGATACACGGGGCCGTATAGTTAAGTTGACCTGATCTCTCAGAACACGACTGAGTGAGCGACTGTTCGATTGTTGATGGTCCTATTGTAAGTCATAAAGTTGAGGGAACATTGCTCCTTTCGCCTACAGCAATAAGTAATCTTGGGGAACATTGCTCCTTTCGCCTACAGCAATAGAGAAGTAATCTTGAGTTCGTTCTGTGTACAAGAAATGTTTTTGATTGTCACGTTTGAAATAAGAGCCAAGCTTAGATGCTACTTCGAATCATTCATATTAAGGACTTGATAGATGGTCAGTACAATACATCAGGGTCATTTGTGAGATATCGCGGTAGCTACCAAGTAAGATGAATTCCGCTCTTTAGATGTTTCATCTTCCGTTTTTTCGAAACGTAGGTCAGTGCAATTCCCATTTCATTGGGTGCAATTCAGTGAAATCTAGTTTTTGTGATCCAATACAGACCAACAGGCTTTCGTAAATGATCGCTGTAAAAGTGCACAGTCGATTCAAGCTTGGGTACAAAGTCTGAAAATGTTTTGCAAACATGTCTGGCAATGGATCAGCGTGTGAGAGTGCGATGATTGAAGAAGAATGTAGCCAATCAATTGGAAAATGTTTGAGACCGATTGGGAAGTCATCGTTTCAGAGCGGAAAAATTACGTGTACAGCTGGTCACAGTCTTGAAGTCCCAGCAACCAGGGGTTCCAAACATTGCACCAACTGAGCGAAGAGCCTTAAACACGTTAAAAAAGGTAGACAGCATAGTAATTACAAAGGCAGATAGAGGTAAGGCCACGGTCGTCATGAAAAAGAGTGACTATCTTCATAAAGTTAGACAACACATAGCTGATGGTCCTTACCGACAAATTAGTAACGGAACGATTATGTCAATAATGAATAAGAGTAAAGCCGAAGTTGGGAGGTATCTAAGGTCTGTGATAACCATCTGGGGCAAGGTAAGTGGTATCGATTGTACGCAAAATGTGCAATGCAACCACGACTTTAGGGTTACCGAAAATTCACAAGGAAGGTGTCCCCATAAGACCAATAGTGGATGGGATAGGTTCACCACCACATGAACTGGCCAGATATCTAGCAGGTATCCTTAAACCACTTGCCGGCAAGTCACCCACACACATCCAAGATTCGTATGAATTTGCCAAAAAAAGTAGCTAGGTTTCAGACGAAGTCCTGGCTAGTTTTGACGTCAATTCGATGTACATCAACGTCCCTAAAGCGGACACTGTGGAAGTAGCGAGAATACTTTTACTGGCAGACACAACGCTGCAAGAACGAACGCAACTCTCCGTAGACGAGATAGTTGAAGGCATAAAAGTATGCCTAAACCTCAGTCAATTTGTTTTTGACTGAAGTATATACTCTTAAGAACAAGGTTTAGCGATGGGATCACCAATATCCCCGATTTTGGCCAACATGTACATGGAAGACTTCGAACAGAAAGCTTTGAGCGGATTTGAGTGTCCACCAAGGGTGTTCTGGTTTTACGTAGATAACACGTTCGTTGTAATAAAGCTGGATAAGGTGAACGAATTCTTTCAACATCTGAACACATTGGACCCTCACATTAAGTTTAGCACGGAGCTAGAGTCCACATCGGGTACACTAGCTTTCCTTGACTGCATGACACACAAGAGTGGTGGAAGATTAAAAACTACTGTATACCGGAAATTAACAGATAGTGGTCCGTTCTTAGACTACTCCTCCGCACATCCAAAAGCAATATATGCTAGCATAGCCTCAGCGATGTTTAGGAGAGTGAGAGCACTGTGTACAGAGGAGGTCGACCGAAGAGCAGCACAACTTGAGGTAAAAAAGCGACTTCAAGATAGCGGATACCCAGTGGGTTTAATTAAGCGG